AGTTTATTGGTCAGAGGGTAATTTACTGTTGCAGTAGCAGAATTTGTGAGTATGATTTTTCTTGATAGGTGAAAAGACGAAGCACAAGATTAGAGGCTTAGGAGGGAGAGCAGCTTCGAATTTTGTCCAAGTCATTTCAACTTAGTGAACTGGTCCATTCCTCTACTTTTTGCCCAGGGTAGCTTGTCCTTTTAAAATCATTCGAGCCTTAACTGATCACTTTGCTCACTGAAATCTTACTATTAGCAATTTTCACTATTCAGAACGAACCGCAGCAGTTCGTACTATTAAACGCTTGGATCATTGAGGTAAGTATCCAGAGCACACTAAGCACAAATTTACCGGAGATGACCACTTACCTATTGAATTGGAATTGTTTTTAGAGGTGGTATGATGAATTCTTGTACTGGTCCCCTATGGAGTACCAAAATATCACTGAATTACGGCTACCGTATGATTCAATTTGGTTACCGGATACTACGCTTTACAATTCGTGAGTTGCAGTCAACAACACACCAGCGAATTCGATATTTGTCCGTTAAAGTAGCTATTCAGGTTGGTAATGAAGGACGATGATACTCGACGCCTTCTGAATGCAAAGCTAACGACGGATCGTGAACGGCGAGCATCACTCATTGAACTTCTTTATCCTACAATCTATAAATTCTCTTGTTTACTTGATCTGCGATTTTTCCCATTTGATGTACAGGTTGGTATAACTTCTGAACAACTTAATCAAGACCAATCAATATTTCAATCAAGAAGCATTTCGTACAAGCTTCTCCTACAGAGTAAAAAGTCGAGTAAAGGTCGTTGTACATAGGATTTCCAGCTTGTTTCTCCGGTGTTAATGAAATATTTGTGACCGCTCTGGATTTTACGCGTATCTGATCAATATCCATTTTCTGTCCCCCAAATTGGAGAGTCCTTGCTGTTGAGGCTTCTTGCTTTCAGAATTGTACAATGATCTTCTCGTCATGGACCTATGATCAGACGGGGATCGATTACTTTCCAGCTTCGGATGAGATATCGATTGCTAATTATTTGGAAAATGAAGGATGGGAACTTTTGAAAACTGAAGGTACCTACTATAATATTTCATCATAACTTCATAAATAGAAATAATTCATCAATGGGCTCGGCATGTCCTGCTTGAGAATTTCAGCAATTTTTGTGATTCAATCAGAGTAGCGCAGTAGGTAGTGAACATATTTGCAAGGTATCAATCCGAGTTCGATCCTTATGTGGACATGCTTGCAAAGAAACATTATTGTGATAAGTAAAACCGCTAATGGAAGTCTGTTGATTTTGAGCTATCCCCTGGGATGAGCAGTAATTTCAGCTTCTATTGAGACGAGTATTGGAGCGAATAATTAGCTCCATTGATGCGGTGGAGATCCATGGAATGAATTGAGAAATTCAAGGCTTGGCAGAACTGATTTAGAATGTTAATAATATTAGGGATTGTTCGTAGTTTTCTGACGACTTTGTGCCCATTCCAGCTACTTCTGTAAAAAGATTTCTAATCGACGTACCTAAACGCGAGGGCATTGGATCGATTCACCTAGAATTTTTCAAGCTTTCTTGAGGAAAGTATCGTTGCTCTAAGCCGTTTTTGCCTTTACTAAAGGAAGGGATAAAAGGGTAAAGCTTCAGAGCGTTGGTCCGTCTAATATGAGGTGAAGAATACACCCCCACATTCGACTTCCATTCAAAATCGTTGTGGCGTATGAATGCGTATGTGGCCTATACAATGACTTGCGATGGCCGGCCGATGTACAAATCAGTGCTTTCATGTTTCCAGACTAGTCTGGTACCAAATAATCGGCCTTGAAAGGATGGAAGGTTCGGTTAACCTAGGCGGATATTGAATCGGAATTCGAACCCATGTGATAGCGCGCCACTTGCCACTTCACCCACCTGGCTCACCAATTGCCACAGAGCTCAAGTTTTTAATTGATCCAGAAGGGATTGGATCCTTGCAGCGTTGTGCGTCATATGAATTCATGCATATATAAGGCAGAACGACGGAAGGTCTTACTTCCTGTCTTACTTTCTTGAGCTTTGGATTGAGCTAAAGTAAAATGAAACATGAACAATGGCTAGTCATGCATTCTTAACGAATCAAACATTTTGCAGTTAGTCGTCATGAGGTGAAATACAGTTGCTGTCCAAATGCTTATACTCTTCTACATTTAACGCTTTACTTGAGAAGAAAACCGTTATTCTATTTGGTGAACCTGATCATTCCTACCTCGATCATCACACTTATTGCTATTGTGGGATTCTTCACGTGAGTCCAATATTGAACATACAAGGTTGTTGCTACGAAAAGGCGGGATTTGTAGGATGGGCAGGGTGTATGGGTTAGGGTGGGAATTTTGCGCAACCAAAATGTCATTTGAACGTTCCCTTCGCATAAAAAATGATGTGGTTCGACTTTTTTTCGACGAATTTTGATTGATTTTTTCTGATTCTGCGAAATTTTCTTGCTGCATTCAGTTGCATTTTTGTGATGCTAAAAAACTGAACCAGGCCTACAGTTTCACAGAAGTTAATTTTTAGGACATCTTCTGCCAGCGGAATGCGTGAAGAGAAAGTATCATTAGGTATTACAACGTTGTTATCAATGTCAATCTTAATGTTAATGGTATCTGATCAAATGCCTACTACGTCAACGTTCATCCCTTTGATTGGTCAGTTTCTTCGAAGTTTTCGAACCTATTGTCACATCCCTTTTTATTGATTTCTGTCACGGGGACGCAGTTGCTTATTCAATACTTTGCACGATAAATTGTTCCTTCTTACAATGGTACCTTCCCTAGCCTTTTTGTCAGTCCTCTCTATCCCCTCATAAAAAGTAACCATTTGGGTAGTAAAAGCTAATAGGCAAATATGCCGAAGTAACGGCTGATGCTATCACAAGCAAAGTCAATGGACTGAATGCTGCTTTAATCGCCCCATACCATAGCCCATCACTCCCTTTCATGGAGACCGATCTGTCCAAGATGTAATTCTAACCATAGGTTGTTCCAATCCTTTGGCTATGTCCCATAAATCCTGAATACCCGTGAGCGATGGTGTTGCGTCCCTATCGACGAAACCCACTTACAAAAATGAAAGTCATTTCGATAGCTTTTACGGCGGTCATTCCGGAACATGAACTGCTCACCGACTGCCGCCCATCATTTCTGAAATGGATCCCGAAAAAAAATGAAAGCCAATGAAACATCTTTTAGAAATTTTACATTCCCTCATAAACTCTGCCACGAGATCGTTCGGTAGTAAATACCGACATCTCAGGAATTATAGATGAAAAAAGAATTTCTCAGATTCAATTAAGTTTATTCGATAGACCAATAATTGTTAAGTATTTCAGGATGGTTCATACTTGCAATGATCATGGTTATCTCTCTCGGGACAGTAGTTTCGTCCATCATTATTGCAGTTCAAAAACGAGGCAGTCTTGGAGAGAGACTTTCAAAACGGACGTTAAAGTGAGTTTTAATGACCCGTTTGAAATGAACAATGGGACAGGAGCAAGTGATGTTGTTCCCATTCCCGCGAAGGGGATCAGATCTTGAATAGGGGTCCGTTAAAGTATTCTTATCCATGCAATCATATGGATTAAACTTCTAACCCTTCCAGTTGTTATATTAAAGGCGCAACTTAAGAGGGAAAGGAGACTTTTTTGTGCATCGAGTCATCCCCACAGCCCTTTTAATGGGCGGAATCCGTGACCTGCAACTGATGCGATAGTAAGCGATTGTCTGATGCGTGGCGCAATCCGAAAGTAATAGGTTGGCGGTAAGTACGCTTGGATGTCTTGCTTCCCATTTTGGTTGCATCGACAAATCTGAATAACGCCGAAGAATTTGTATGCCCGCACTTCTCTATTCTCATGCGAGGGTCCCCCATGCCAACGGTCTTCGAGTCATCTTTCATGCCGATATTTACAACTTCTGCTCCGGCCTAACACTAATTTAGTACTGACGGACGAACAGTGCCATACTTTGACAAAAAAATTACTGTAATATTCTCTTCAGGATCGCCAAAATGATTGCGTATTTCACTTGTACGGCTTTGCCATCTCATATTGAAAAGGAGCAAATGATGGTGAGCTCAATTGTTAACCACCACTTTAAATCATACACGATACTCCTTAGTTTTGCTTCCTTTGTTTTTTCAGTGTTTTTGTGGTTGCTTCTTGATGTGAGGCATAAGTACGGTATACGAGTTTATGAGTTTCAGGAAGCATTCGATGCTGTGACACCCACAGGGGAATCAGTGAGGACGTTGAAGTCAGCTATGGATGCGTCGAAAAAGTGGATGAGCCTTCGACGGCCCAAAAACGGTGTCGCCGTCGTATCCGACAAAAGCACCGATGCCCTGATTCAGATGGCGAACTCTGGTGCAGGTACACTCTCAATTTCAAATAATTGCCTTCAGGTCTTCATACGTTGGCAGGAGAAATTGCCATCAAGACCATGTACGAAACTGAATTTTTATGGGAACCCGGAAGGTCCTAAATTGATGGGCTTCATGTTTCTAACTCCTTTTCCATTACCTATCCTTTCGGTTAACCTAACAGCAAACCGATTCAAACAATTATGCTGTCTATCGATGTATCCTATTGTGTGCATGAATTGTGTCCTATGAATCGGGCATGGCTTCGTTCAGAAGATGGACAAATGACGGGTATGACACCGGTGGCACCTCTGGTACCACCTGCAGCTATCATCGACGATGATCTTTCGTTACGAAGTGATTTCTCAGCTGTACCACCATCAGCACGGTTGCTTAAAACGAAATCCAGTACCAGATGTAATGTATTCAAGGATTTAACCAGTAAGTATGAACGCTTAGCATGTCTGTTGTGCACTAACATCGAAATTTCAACCTCTACGGTACCTCTGTCTCTTTACAACTAACAGAACTTTTCCTTCTATCATACCTTAACAGCAATGACCTCTACAACCTTAACGACCCAAGTCTTCTGTCAGTGCAACGTCGTTGAAAACGGGGTTTTTATATCCCCGGAGTGCATCTGCCCTCAGGCAAACCTCCTAAAAACAGCTCAAAATAGATGAGTTTCCCAAATGTCCCGAAAATGCTTAGGGACCCCCAAGGAAAGAGGACATACCTCACTCAAACCAGGAATTACTACCAACCATTTACTTGATTAACAATTTCTTCTACGCTCTCATCTAAGCGAAACTTTTTCGTGAATGGCCAACCTTCGGTCTTCCCTCCGTTTGACCCTGGTGCTAACTCCGCGACTCGGAGGTGTTGTCTTGAACGGCATGCCGCTTTGCGAGACAACTAGCAAAGAATTCAAATGAAAGTAAGCGGATTGGGATATCTGCTACGCATCCAGACAGGAACGGCTAGAACCAAAAGGAAGTTTATTTGTTTATCTTTGCCTCCCATAAATGGAAGCCCTGATAACAATATTCATGACGCACGAGCTTCGCGACCGGAATAGTGATTTCCAGAAGATGATAACCACGAATTCCTCCAATTTTTTTTTGATAGTTACCCAGAGGCATATCCCAAAATGATCAGTTTCCTCCTGAATTGTTTTTTACTCATTACTGACTTTCTAGGAGTATGCTTTAGAAAAGCTGAGTAGAAGTAGTTAGGGTTGACATTTTACAAAAGTAATTTTACCATTAGATATCCTCCAGTACAAAGAGATTTTACTGATTATTACTGTGGTTTAGCGTCCATTCGGCATAATCGGCAGTTGGCTGTGGCCGAATTCGAATGGCTGGCTACCGTCACGGAACGAACTTGCTTTGTAATTTTTGTTCTATGCTTCCTAATTATCACCATAGGAATCAATATGATTGGCTACGTTCATTGGAGCAAAGCAGATCAACGATGGAAAAATCCGTGATATGAAACGTGTTCATAAGTTCTCACTTCATTTCTTTCTCTTGTTTTTTCACGGACTGATCCATAAGGGGACCTTTTGAAGGCTGCAGGGTTACATGCTTCGGCGAGTCATGAAGGGATGGTGCACCACAGGAGGTTTACCTGGGTTCATAGCTTATCGCTTGGGCCAGGTTTGAGCCCTTTCTACTGTTCTGGTCAGTGGCGAGAAATATCGTTCCCATGCGCTCCATACCTGTGCATTCCCTATTCCCTTCCTTCCCCATGAACGTGGGAACTAATGTCCAAGCATCCTCCAGCGCTTTCCACACCCGTCGCATCTGGGAGATGGTTTAATGAGTGATTGGAGCTCGCAATGTATGGGTCAGGTTTGAATGCCCTGCGGTAGGTCATAGCATTTTGATGCCCCAAGATTACTATCCAAGATTAGAGCGTGCCCGCATATATGGGAATTCGCGTCGGGCATGAATTCCGCCTCCCAAGCCCGACTTGATCGTATCGTCATTTACCATCATATTCATATCTTCCTTTTCCACAAAATTCTAGCGGTTCGGGTGTAGACAAAATCACATTTTCAGCCAATTTGTCTGAATACAGATGAATTATTCGTGCAGTAAGCCCGTTGCTCCCGATGCATTCGTCGTGGTAAGAATCGACATGACATGATTCCTTCTTTTCACGGGAGTCACAAATGTTAGGTCCGGCCACATGTCGCTTCTCGCGCGCGCGAAAATTCCTCGCCGCGTAAGTGTGCCGCGTGGGGGAGGTGGAAGCAAGCTTACGGGGCAAACCTTATCCCACTAAATAGGACGACAACAAATACATGCTTGGTTTCTGTAGTGCTCTTTCTCTTGTACATTGTCATGTAAAGAGATAGATTTTTTTTTATCTCCTAAGCATTCCTCATATATTGTATACTATTGTATACAGAAACGTTTTTGTAATTTATATATTATTTGGTTGTTAATCTGTAGTCATGGGCTATCGGAGCAGTGCCAACTAGGTGACCATATCACAAGCGAAGTTGATTATCAATATTTTTCATATCCAAAGCCTACCAAAGCAGTCGTAAAGGGCTTGTATCGCGCGCGGCGGGCGCAGTGAGTCGCGCGTTTGAATGAAGCGACGTTATTGGAAAACATGTTCACTTCTGTCTAGTTTCAACGTGAACGCCCCACATTTGCCCTGCAAATTGGGGCGTTCAAGTATGATTCCCGCGATAAGTTTGTCGCGCGATACGTTAGACGCACAGTATGAACGCAACTTACTACAATCTGGCCTCAACTCAACTTTCCATTTTTTATCTGCACTGTGGATGTACCAAAGAACGCTACCAGGCAACGGAGCTTTTGGTTTCCGAAGGCAATTTAACCATTTTTGGACATGTGTCTCTGTCTGAAGTGATATTCGGGACATACCAAGGATACTACAGGTACTGATATTTGCATTTTCGAAGATATGAAACTTTGTTCTGTCGACCTAGGCGCAACTGCGCCTTATAAATGCAAAAATCAGTTTTCTGCTTGCATCTCATTCACTCTCCGTATATTCCAATTTTGAGGTGTTTAACTCACTTTTGCCCCCAGTTCCTCGTCCTTCACACCTCGTTTCTCCCTGAAATTTGCGCTGCTCATTGGCTATTTATGAATCGGTGTGATGTGTTTGTGTGGATGTGTGCATATTTTCAATCGCCAATAAATGTTTACCGATTTTCCCGTTCTGTTATTGCCTTACACAGGGTTCAACAATCCCTGGATATCCGTACTTTCATTTTCTTTTCATATGGATTCGTGTTTTCTTATTTGTCACATATTTTATCTGTACTTCTTGCTCTACTTCTGGTGCGAAGCTGTCGTTAGAATACGGTAGGAACCTGACTGAATAGTTCGGAAACTTTAAATTCCATCTTCTCATGAATCACTAATCTCCTTATCTCATCCTGAGATTCCTTCATATCCAAATTGTTCCTCTGAACTCTTCAAAAACGGTTTCATCTTCACAGGGTGGCTCTTATTGAGATATCGGATGCAACTACATGAAACCTCAACAATGATATTCGCTGTTCTTCTGGTGGTTTTCTCTGGTTGCAGGGTCTCCAAAGCAGACCTCGGTGAGTTCGACGCAGAAATTCTTTTTTTTCTAATCTCATTTGTATACAAAAAAACTAGAAACTTTTGTTCTGAATTGTACATGGGTTTATAGTGTTCATAGTTGGATCCCCCATTCAGTCAAGGCGCATGACATATCGTTATACTTTTGTTGTCATCCGGAACTTCACAGTAGCTGTTTTCCTTCTGCGCTCTTCTGCTTAAAGGCACAGTTCACGATAATTTTGAGGTACCCGTTTTTATTCGAGAAGCGGAAGGATAGATTGGGGATAGTTCATCGGTAATGAAGAAAGCGAGAGAATTCGCCGATTTTGAGTAAAATATGGCTCCTCAAAAGTAGGGAAATAGAGGTTGGACGAGATTACCATGACGGAAATGACATGGAAGGGGAATTTGGACGAGATTTTAGTTATTGCAATTGCACAAAGAGCTGACTACATCAAGCCAGACTGCACATAAATGTCTTTCGATGTCGCTATGGGTCATGACGAGTTATTTGAATTTCCTAGGGTTTCCCCGTGTTCGGTGCAGCCTCTACAATGTCGGTGAAACTCGTCCGAGGATACACAAGGGTCAATATTTGAGCCGATATATCTCCCTGACAAGGCGATTTTCCGTCCTAATAGTGGCAGATATGATATACGCGTGGGCCTCAAATTCATCCTGTGGAGGAATCTCTGACACCATTTTCATCGTGAACTGTGCCTGTAATCAACGAGGGACGTCGAACATCATTGAGTCTTCGAAAGATTTCGAAGAGAATTTCAGTTAGTTCGTTGCTGATTAATGACTCTGCTGCAAGTCCTACTCGAGCGACAATCATGCAAGAAGTTCCTCTCATACGGCTCACTCGAGACCTTCTCATGAAGGATAGGTAGGTTGCTTGAAAGAGCGTTGATTGAAAACCTGAAAGTAGACCGACTGCTTTCCTCATTCCAATAGGTCTAGGTATGATGTTCGTGTTCGACCAATTCACGACCACACGAAGCCACTGAAGGTTCACATCAGTATTTCGCTCTACCAGATCATCGAAGTGGTTAGTTTGAATTGTAGTGTATAGAAAAGGTGCTGCGATTTGCGGTCGCGGTGCAAAATTCAAACTTCGCTCAGTCTTGAACGGCAGAACTGAGACTGTGATATTTCCTGGGCCAGACAGTTCATGCTGGTCAAGTGTGATATGCCAAAAAGCTAAGCTGTAGGCTACTAGAAAATATAAAAACGAAATGCCCTATCAAATGTTACCCTTGTACCGAATGGGACATAAGTGCTCGGCGGGTTCAACAGAAGCTAAACAGTGCAGAGTATTTCGTTGTTCGTTTCGCTTTTGGAGGATTTCGATCATGAAGCCATCTAATTGTTCATAAGCTTTCACGTCGAGAAATGCCCAGTATTGACACAAAGACTTGTCCAGCTTTGAACTTTAGGGGCTCGATACAATCCATCGATCCGATTGATCGAATCAGTTGTGTTGAGTAGTTTGAACTGGCAATTAATCACTCAAAGCAGAAACATACCTTCATCTGTAACGAGTCTTACCGCGTAATCAGTATGGTCGTGCCTCGGTGTGCGCCACGCTGCTGTTAATCACATAGTATTGTGAAGGAGATTGACAGTTAATGACCCTTTTGTTCGAAATAACGGATGTTTGACAAAGCATTCCTTTGATTTCATTAGACGTTATCACAATATACCGGAAGTACCTGGCCGGAGTAATGCCAAGGCCGGTTGAGCTGGCGGAGTCCTATCCTTGAACCCGGTATTAAAAGCGGCGTTTTTTTTTTGCCATTGCTTCATTTATAGTTGCTATTATTTTGGAAATTTTTCTTCTCAATACCAACTGGATGTAATATTTCAGGATGAACCGGCACAGAATATCAAGTTGAACGTGTGGATGATTCAAAAATGGAAAGATGAGTATCTCTCATGGGATCCACGGGAATACGGCATGATAAACTCGACGATCATTCCATTCAGACATCTATGGATTCCCGACACATACCTTTATAACAGGTACGGCTTATCCCGTTTACTGCATCAGCCTCGTAGAATGACATGACCAGGTTTGACGTACGCCTTTTCTGAGGAAGAATTCCGCTTGTTTCGGGAAAGCATTACTCAACTTTCTAATATGATGACGTCTCCGTTTGGAGAGAACGTTGAGGAGGTCGGAAAGCGCCATAGTCGCCATTTGAAAATTAGAGGCACAACTCCTGAGGTATCAACTTAAGTGAAGTAGTGGAAGTTCTAGTGCTTAGTAGTGCTAAAATGGCAGAGAAAGTGCGAAATTCAGCTTATTCAAGAATATGTGTCTTCAAAGAAGTAAGATAAGGGGTTGTACGATATTTCTTGTCTGTCACCGTCTGGGTGCCTCCCACATAAGCGGACTATTCGTTGGCGTCCTAACGCTTCATTGTGAATAATGCATCCTTAACAAGGCACGATCACATTTGTATGTGTACGTCTGATAAGCCGGTTTTGAGGTCATCACAATGACCTTTTGAAGTCTTTTTTTATCCAAGCATGCCCCACGTGCTATCCTTGGTGACTACAGGCTCATCCGAAGGCGAAATCTCGGGAACCATTATTATCGTGAGCTGTGCCTTCGAATTGGGGAGACGGGCGTTAGGAACGATTTTGGGTAATCCTTTTGCCGCACGCGGCTGTCATGGACCACTCGTTCGCCGTTATTACAGCTCTAGCGATCTTCATACAGCTCATTCGATATGCGATCATTATTTTAGGCATGATTACACTGTTAATTCCTTTGTTTTTGTATTTCTCATATGCGTTCTGCTATATTCTTCCGCGCGCGATGTCCCTCTCGCCGCGACGCGATAATTTCGTTTCTACTGCACCACACCCTTCGAATTCCCGAATGAATGTTCCTCTTTTCCTACGAATTTTGCTACATTTTCTCTGAGCAACACTTNAAAAAAAACAATACAAGGTAGCAAACTGGACAAAAAGGGAATGAGTTGTGCAAAAACTTATTTTCGTTGTTTTCAGTGTGAAGATGAGTCGTGATGAGACTGAGCGGTATATGAACATCCAAGTCGAATCGTTGCATTGGAAAGGAGAAAACGGTTCACAAATGTCATTTCTCTATCCGGCTATATACACGATCACTTGCCGGCTCAACATCAGGTCGAAATATCCTAATTTGCTGATTTCATGCATTCAATGCTTTTGGGTCATGCGAAGAGAATGTGAATGGCCAAAGAGAACATCTTGTTTCACCGGGCGGAGCATATGTTTCAGAGTGTTCAGAGTGAGCTGGTGAGAGCAGCGTAGTTGCTTTCATTCACCGTTCCCATTCTCGTTTTCTTTTCTGTCACATGGGAACGAAAGGGTAAGAAGATCACGTACAGGAGTGCAGCAGAAAATTTATGTACAAAAATTTGTCAGGAACTCTTCAATCTTCCTCACTGCCTGGTTGGCTGAATGTTCTCTTTTCCCACATAGGTCAAGCGTAAGATCTCTCATATCTATGTAGAAGAAAAAAGTCGGTTGCCCTGAGGTCTACAGTATGCCTTTGCTCGTTAACTGACTGGGACAGGGTGAAGCTGCTTCCAAGTGGGTCCACGATAGTGAAAACACTTTTTCGTTTTAGGTTCTTCCCGTACGATCGTCAGAATTGTACGTTGACAATATCCAGTTGGACGAATTCGATGTCGGCATTGGACTATTATGCAGATCCTGAAGTAAATCTGGCATCATTCATACCAAATGAAGAATGGGATGTGAAATCGTTCAAGATCTTTCGACATGAGGTGGGAATTGGACGGGTATGCAGGGTGTCCCAAAATTATTGGCGCCTAAATTCAGAAATTTTTAAGGTAGAAATAATATATCAAATTCACATAACCTGTTATTAATTAGTTGCATAAGAAGGTTTCCTTGCAATATGCATGGCTACTGATGTGGAACTCCCAATACCTTTCAGATGGAGGAGGCTCATTCAATGCCACTTGCAATCACTGACACGCGAGAGGTGGAAGGGCATTATGAAACTCCTTGGGACTTTTACGACAACCATTTAGGGGGCTATTAAACGATATAGAAAAGAAGATTGAATCAGAGACATACCAGGAAAGGTAGAAAGTTAGAATGTTTCTGAAGATAGGACTATTAAAATGGTCCGTCTGTCAATCGGTCGGGATTCTGGGTGACCCATCAAAAGGAAGTCGACGGGCACGGCTTACAGGAGTTATCACGATGGAAGAATGTCATGCAGGAGCTTCACTGCCGTTCCTATCGTATGCAGAAATTTCGCTTTAATTCCGATCTCAACAGACACTGCCAGGCCAAAAATGCAGAAAGTCAAAAGTGATGACACGCAACCCTTCGTCGTTTTCTCTGATCAAGGAATTTTTAACGATAAAGCCATTCCCCAACAACCAAAACGTTCGCGTCCTGGAAAGAAACGCCTAGTGTGTAATATCTCACAAAAAGGTTGCTATCAGAATAGTAAAATGATGTTTTCCGAGG